AAAAAAAAAAAAAAAGAAAAAAAGAAAAAAAAAGGAATTCTAGTTTCCATTAAACATTTAGAAATGAATAATATGTTTATTAGTTTGATGCCAGTGATTGTTTCGTGGGTTTTATACACACACACACACACACACACACACAATAACCTGCTATTTAAAAACTTGGGCTTGGGCTGGAGAGATGGCTCAGAGGTTAAGAGCACTGACTGCTCTTCCGGAGGTTCTGAGTTCAATTCCCAGCAACCACATGGTGGCTCACAACCATCTGCAATGAGATCTGGTGCCCTCTTCTGGCCTGCAGTCATACATGTTGTATACATAATAAATAAATAAATAAATAAATAAATAAATAAATAAATAAATAAATAAATAAATAAATAAATAAAAACAAAAAAACTTGGGCTTGCTGGGCGGTGGTAGCACACACCTTTAATCACCAGCACTTAGGCAGGTGGATCTCTGGGATAGAGATCAGCCTGGTCACAAAGAAACCCTGTCTCAAAAAAAAAAAAGAAAAGAAAAAGAAAAGGAAAAAACAGGGCAGGGCCTAGTGGCACTATGGGTCTGGTGGCAGTATAGCAGCATAATCTGAATATTTATGTGGTAGAGGCTGGAACTCCCAACCCCTCCAAGCTCCAGGGTGCTTGGTCTAAATTGAGAGTTCCAGGCCAACCTGTCTTACACCAGGAGACCCAGTCTCAAAAACAAAAACAAAAGCAACTTGTCATCTTGAACATTTAAAAAGCATGTAGTTTACTGTTTCAATTACACAATAATAAGAAAAACAGTGTTTCCTCTCCTTTTGTAGATCAGTCTTTAACTTGGGTCCTCCTGCCTTTCAGCGTCCCAAGTGTTGGGGTTACATTCATGAGCCACCACCCCTCAGAACATTTTTTCCATAAAGGCTCTGAGGGTTCCTTTAAGTCTGATATTCTGTAGAATCTGAACTCTCACTGTGAGATAGAGAAACCAGAAAAGAATCACATTCAAATGGTCACATCTAACTAACAACAGAACCGGGGCAACTCTTCTATTTGTTTTGAAGTTTCTGCTACTAGTAACTTTTGTGGAGATTAAAAATAAATGTATCCAACTGAGGTTTCTATTATGTTAAGTTCAGGCAGAGGCCACAAGTGGCCAGGGCAGAGTAGAGGTACAGAGAAATACAGATCAGGCCAGATGCTGAGCATGAGGGAGGCCAAGTGCACATGAACCCTTCCCTGGATCCTCAGGAAGAAGAAGCTATCTCTGTCTGGAGCGAGGAACAGAGTCCAGACTAGAGGCACAGGTCTCACAGCAGGGAACAGAGTGAGAACAGAACCCAAGCCAGGCTGCCCTTCCCCGTAACTGCAGTTTCCAGCCTCTGATCAGGCCCACCTGGGAGGAGCAGGGCTCCACACCCAACCATACCTGCTGGTGGCTGCAGGGGGCCCATGGTCAGGGGAGGAAAAGATGCGGTCCAGGTAGTCATTCAGTAGTTTCTCCTGCACAATGCCTGGGTCACAGAGCAGAAGAGAGAAAAGAGGCAGGTGGTCAGTCCAGCTCTTGGTCCCTGCTGTTCCCCCCCACAGGGTGTCCTTGTGGTCTTTGGCCAGCCACAAGGGTCAGAAGAGCAACCACACAGGGGTACAGCTCCACGGGTGCTGGGGAAGAACCTGTCACAGGAACAAGGGGTAGTTTCACGGGACCTGGCTCATTTGTCCGTCCTTCTCCTTCCCCCAATACAAAGAGCACCCCACCCCCCCACCCCCCACCCTGCCAGCCCTTACCTGTGACCCTGGACTTCTCGGTATCTGAGGTCAGCCTATAGCTCTTTCGGGAAAAAGACATGCCAGCCCCCTTGGATGCCATCTTTCGTCACTCATGGGCAGCCAGTGGTCCTGGAGGCTGAGCCAGATGCAGAGCGTGTCTACTCCAGGCTCGTCAAAGGCCCACACAGACCTAAGTCCTGCAATGGTAGGAAGGCTTGGGAGCAGGTGAGACTGAACCATACACATTCACACACATTCTAACCTAGGGCACGGGTAGGGGAGGGCTCCCAGCTTTCCACACAGGAATGTAAGATGGGATCTAGGCTCACGCCAGGAATATGGTGTCCCATACTATCTCAGTGCCCCAAGCAGGACCTAGCAGAGACCAGGTGCAAAGTATGTTTGTTGAACCATAACTAAACCCTTTGGCTCTGGGGAAATCAGATAAACATGTCCAAATGAGGTGGCCTAGAGTAAAAACTCCTATATCCACCTTAGTCATTGAGCCCGGCTCATATTCAGAAAACAAGACCCTATCCATATTCCCTCAGGTATAGACCAGTCTGGCCACCTGCAGCCAGAAGTCCCTCTTACTCCCCAAGAAAGTAAGAGGTAAGAGGAGGTAAGAGATGCCTTATTTAGCTCGGGTTTCCTCTCTTTTCTTATCTACAGTCTCATTAGCTTTCTTGTTCTCTCTCTCT